AAAAGTTCAAGTAGTACACCTGTGTTACAAAACTGACACCCATCAAACAAGACTGAAATATGAGAACAAATCTGACATTAATTTAAACAGCAAAAATTAATAATAATGGACTAAGGTTTATATGATAAATCTTCCAATCACATCGTCTTTGTACTAATCATTATTTTTGTAAAACCTCATAACTCTAACTTTTGTTAAATATCAGTATATGATAAAAAAAATAAAACTATAAGAAAAGACTTTTTCCTAATCACTGGAAATAATGATTTTTGCTGCTGTGGGAGGTAAAGCTATAATATCTGTTCCCTAAAGGGTTAATGTTCAGGGGAGGGAGGGGCTAGTTGTAGCTTGCAGCTTGACGGGAGGACCTGTGTTGTTTTGTGAGTGCAGCAAGTCGAAGCTGCCCCATCCTGTTGTTTTTCTAACATAATGTTGAACCCTTAAGAGTTTTTAGATGACTGACTGTGTTTTTGCACGTTGAGTCATTACGATATCTTTTTAGCTTTACTAATTTAGCACATGCTCTGCGCGTCGACGTCTGCTCTGAGTAAACAAACGGCATGTCAAATTTATTTTCTGGTATTTGTAGATGTGTAAATCAACTTAGGATATATAACCGTGGTTTTCCTTGTCCAGCAGGTTCGATGTCTGTTGTCCAGTACACCTGTAGTTTCTTTCTTTATCAGGACATTCAGAATTGTTGTGCTAGGAATGCCCGTTGTTTGTCCAATGGCTCCATTTGATTTTTCTTATTTTCTCAGCTTCAGAATGGCTTGCTGTTCTCCCATAGACAGCTCTTTATGTTGCTTTAACAAGATATACAAACTTATTTGGTTTAAACCCAGGCTAAAAGTCGACTAGACATGCCGAGCTGTTTAATGTTTGAACAATGAACTTTAAAGGCAACACATGGTAAGTAAGAAACACCTGTCAGTCACAAGWTTTGCTCACTTGAAAAMTGGGTGGATTTCAACAAAAGGCTGTTTGTTCTGAGTTGTTCAACACACTTGCATGTAAATACTAGTAAATAAAATCTGACTGTCAGAACTCTTGTCTCACCTTTTGATTTTAAACCCAAATGTCTTCAGTGCCCTACAAAAACTGGAATTTGACTTGCTGTTYYCATACTTTTGTAAATAGRTATWWTCTGTAAWAATCTYCCATMWGTGTGCTAATGTTATATGATAACTGTGTAAACCTACAGGTAGATGTCAGTGTTGAGTTTTAAGTCTTTGTGAATGCGTTTCTGTCTGTTCCCACCAATGCCAGGGACCCACAAAGGCTGGGCTGCAGTGCAGATGCGCCTACTACATGAGCTGGTATATGCATCCCGCCGCATGGGCAACCCAGGCCTGTCTGTGCGCCACCTGTCCTTCCTGCTGCAGACCATGCTGGACTTCCTGTCTGATCAAGGTCAGCTTACACCAAACACTAGAGGKGGAGCAGCACAGTGTTTGAATTCACCGTTTGCAGGCATGTGACGTGTTACCTGCCTCACAAAGGCAGCTAATAATCATAGCTGAAGAWCTAAATAATTCACAATCCAACAAACTGATCAGTGTGACGTACCACGGCTTTCAGCTTTAAACATTGCTCAGTTCCCTTACGACACCATGAGCATGTCTGCCCAGGGCACATCATAATAGGACCACACCATATTAAAGACTTGTAATGTCATTATTTAATATAACAGTTTGGATAAACCCTCTGATAAATCCTCTTCTATGACTATCATCTAAACCATATGTGGGCATCAAGGCCAGTGAGACTTTATTGCTTTGATCAAATTCATCATTATTAGCATATAGAACATGAATTCATTGCACTTGAACTGTAATGACCTATCATTTATTGCAGTCTAAGTAGTCTCTCATGATCCTGATATTGTGCTCACTGACAATGCAATAATGAAAACTTTGTTTTACTGTGTAACTCAGCTTTTTATCACATCATATCCTCATTTTCTCATTTCATACCTGTGTACAATTCACACAGCTGAACAAACAAATGTTGGGCTCAAACCATCTTGTTGAAACTGGCCTCTGATTGATATTCTGATCAGTGCGTTGAGTTGTGACTGTCCCTGGTATTCCAAAAAAAGAGTTTGTCTGACTAAAGTTACCGTAGGTGTTGTTAACTGCAACATTTACCAGGCTAACCGTTTCAGACAGAGGTGTCATTTTCAAGCCCAGCTTCAGACTTTTTCTTTTCCAACTTAGCCACTGTTCCCATGTTTTATAAGGTCCCTACAAAAAAAGATGCTTCTTTTTTTTAAATGGAAAATTAAAAAAGGCTTTAAAGGGGACCTGTTACGCAAAATTCACTTTTTAAAGGTTTTTTTACTCAACTTTGGGTATGTACTTC